TCCAATGTCGTGGTCGTAGAAAAGAACATGTTCCAAAATGGCTACTAAATCATATAGAAAATTCCAACGCGATTAATCTGAATAGAAATCCAGCATCATCATCCATTGCAAGGCACTTATTAATTTCAGGTCACAAAATCAATATTAATGGCGACTTCACAATTAATTCATCGCATAACTCTAATTCAAGGTTGGTTATTAAAGGTGATGGAAGCACTTTGGGGGATTAATCACACACAGCCTAAACTGTATGTACAAAAATCAATAGACTTCAACCTTCGCCTACCATGGACCACATGACCTATTTAAATGGGAATGGTCATTAGTGTGTACTTTTGTTTTACATAAGTGAGTCCTGTTAGAATTCATATTTAGGTGATAAATAAATGCGAGTAAGCGGTAGACTGGATGCAATATGTAGATATTATTTTATTTATTTTATTTTATTTTGTTAACCATGTTAGTTGTAAAGCGGTTGTAAAGAAACTACGAAATGACGATGTCATCTCGCGAAATTTGTTTTCTAAATGACGTATTCAAATATATATATGTATATATCTTTTTACGAGTTGATCACGGATTGATATCAGTTAGAGAACCATTCAAAACCAGGGAGTAGTGGACAGCCAGCTGTTCCCTCCTAGTCTGCGAATCATCGTCTGTACGCACCAACTACCAGGATTCGAATCAAAGACCTTCCGGTTACAAGGCAAGCTGGCTTGTATACCATTAAGCCGCTGGGACCCGATTCAATGGCCAACCACCCAGTTGTCCATGAATTCTAACTTCTACCAGTTTGTGATTTAGCGCGACTGGTACCAACCAATGTCGTAGGTGAGACAAATATCCTCACACATGATATCTGGGTGGATCTAACTAGTCACGACTGTTCACTAGAAATTCAGGAAACTCCATCCTGTAGCAAGTAACTAGCTAGTATGAGATTATTTTCTATGGTTTGGTTTGTAAACCAAACTACAGAAAAAAATATGTATATATATATATATATATATATATATGAATTACGATTATACAGCTATGAAAATGAAATCGTCGAAAAGAGAACTTTCTTCGCTGAATTCTTGATAAATTTGATGTCTGTCTCTGCGTTATTATTATTATTATATCCTTTGGTTCCTAGAGTAACCTAGGGCTCCAGCCGCACGTCTCCATTGCCTTCTGTTTTCTGACAACTTTTTCAACCCGCTGCAAGTCTGCCCACATGCTTTCATCTCCTCTTCACATCACCTCCTCCAAGTCATCCCACCCGCACGCTGACGACCAACTCGCCGCTTCCCTTTCGGATTCCACTCGAGGGCTTGTCTGGTGATGTCACTTGCTGGTTTTCTCAGCGTATGGCCAGCCAACCCATCTCCATTTCTTCCTGCCTATATGTTTCACAGTCGGTTCCTGCTGTGTTGGCTCACTTATTGCCAGAGATCCCTCCCTGTTGGTGATCTTCTCTTACCGGCCATCTGATCTTGAGCGACATTGAGAAAAGACAACTGTTAATGAAGGTCTGAAGTTTGTTTGAGATGCCCTTCATGATGCGTTGGCCAAGTCTCTGATCCATCCGTATAGTAGGTAGCACCGACTGACTTCACATTGGAGTTGAAAATCCGGATCTACTCTTCAATTGATGCCGAGAAGGGCTGTTGACCACCACACAGAAATGATGAGAGTAATGAAAGTCTGCCTTGCTTTTCCGATTCTGGCTTTGATATCTCCATCAGTTCCGTTCAGCTGTAGTTGAGGCGATGCTTCCCAGGTAGATAGGTAGGTAAAGGAGGTTTTTTCTTTTATGTTCCTTCCATTTATGCTGGCTGATTGTTGTCTGTTGTTGTTCCTGTGGCTGTTGGTGTTGGGCAGGAATCTTCATCACCCACCTCTGTTTTCTCTATGTTCACCTGAAATCCTATCTTCTCTGGATGATTCTTCTTCCAGCTTGTTGCTTTTCACTTACATATCTTCCAATTTGTGGGAAATCAGACGTATATATGACATCGGCGAAGTCCACATCCTCCAAGTCTCTCTTGTGTGAGTCCATTTTATGCCTGTTTCCTCATTGCCCGGGCCGTTGTCTGTCGCATTATCCAATCTGCTGCAATCAGGAAGATCATTGGCGATAATAGGCAGCCAACCAGCCTTGTCTTACTCCCGTCCTCACTTCGAAGGCTTCCATAAGTTTCCCGTTGTGGATTACTTGTCATGCAGCATTGTCGTATAACTGTTGGATGAGATGTATAATTGTCGATGGGACCCCTTTGTAGTAGCGAAGTATTTGTGAAATCACCTCTCGATAGATGCTGCACCATCGAAGGCCTTTGCAAAGTCGATGAAGCTGAAATAGAGAGGCGACTGTCTCTGCATATATATGGGAAATTATATACACCTTATATGAAATTCCTCATATCCACAGATCTTCCATATTTGTCGTACTACTACTTCTATCCTTGGTGTTGTGTGTCTGTTGCTTTTTCTGTTTTCTTTTTCGTATCTCCCATGTTTTGCCGCAATAGATACCAGTTGATTCATTTCCTCTCCTATTTTTTTGACGTCGAATCTCTCCCTCTTTCTCCCTCTCTCTCTCTCTCTCTGCGTTATCTGATGATATTTTTGTTCGCCGATTAAACCTCTCTTCCTTTATATACTACTGATAAATCTTGTCAGTAGTACTTACGCTACAATAGTAGTAGTAGTAGTAATGGAAACAAACACCTACACAGGTGTAACTGATCTTTCAGAGACAATGTCATCAGAGAATATTGGCCTAATAACAATAGTAATAATAATAATAATAGCAGCAATAATACAAGAGCTGAATGCGAAGAACACTGAACGATAGAATAAATCTCGGAAAATAGAGGACCTGATTCATTTATTTATCTATTTATTTATTTACTAGTAATTTCTATTGAGTTTTAATGACACTCTATGATGTTTCATGATAATAAAAACGAACAGTAATGACAGTCATAATAATAATTATAATTTAAAACAATTAGTTCCCTTTATGAATTTAGACAAAGCAATAATACGTAATTTGTCTGAATCGTGTGTGTAATGTGCATATTTGAGCAACACATTTCGAACAATCTGATCCATCACACACGGACTTGTCATAGGAGTACATGTATATGAAATTAATAAAGAGGTAAGAGGTGAGACAATGGATATGTTAGGTCAAGTTAAAAGGACGACATATTGAACGTCAAAATAACAATAAAGATCACTCACTAAACCAAATAACAAAGGTAATAATACTACATCTGTTCAAGGAAGGAGGTTTAATGTAATGACGAATTGTTGCTTTCAACTGATAAAGGTGGTTCAAACTTTTCTAATTGCCAGCTAAGGTCTTCCACAAACCTTAGGATACGCTCAAAACACGTTTTATAGATAGGTTTCAAAGATGTGTTAACGTCCATTTTGATGTCATGTCTCTATAATATGTTTCACAATACAGGAGCTAGTTCTCATCTGTTCTCACCAATAATGGGTTCTGAAGATTTCATTTGTTTCTGGAGATATTTAGGAATATCCTGTGAAGCCAGCCTTTACTTGCAGAGATCGATGAGTCCTCTCCATGTGTTTGTGTATGTGTGTCCACACGTACATTCAAACTGGTAAATACAGTGAGAGGATGTGATATCATTTTTCGCATGTTCAAAGGACTTACATGAATATATGGACTTCACATTCTCAATTATTCTAATCTTAGTTAGTTGTATAAAAACCATCTTTTTAACCACATCTTTTAACAGTCTTCAGGTTACCAAGGTGCTGTGATCATGTATATAGGGTAACTTGGTGTACACGTCTTTTTTAAGGGGGTGGGGGGGGGCGAGTTGGAGAACGGATCTTGGTGTTCCACTGACTACTTTATATCATCTCCTGATGAACTTGTCTGGATAATTGTTATCAACCAGAATTTTTTGTGTCAACTTTCTTTCTTCTTGATCAAGTGTGTCTTTAGTGCATATTCTTTGGATTCTACTGAAGAGGTACTTTGCTAAGGCTGTTTTGTACCGAACAGGGCAGAAACTGTGATTATTAAGATACTGTCCTGTCCAGGTAGGTTTTCTATAAATAGATCTTTTTATTGGGGCGTATCCTAAAGTTTTTGGAAGCTTCAGCTGGCAATTAGAAAGTTTAAACCACCTTTATGCGTTCAAAGCGACAATTCGTCACCACACTAAACCACCTTCCTTGGCACACTTTGTTACTTTGATACCAGTCAGGGTAGATGTACTATTGGTTACCTCTGTTATTTGGTTTAGTGATCTTCATTGTTATTTCGACCTTCAATATATCGTTCTTTTAACTTGACCTAACTTGTCTATTTTCTCACCTCTTAACCCTTTATTAATTTCATATATACGCATTCCTTTGACAAGTCCGTGTGTGATGGATCAGATTGTTCGAAATGTGTTGCTCAAATACAACATTACACATACGATTCGGACAGACGAATTACATCTTCTTATTGCTTCATCTAAATAATTATAATAATTTGGGAATCATCGGCAGTACGCACTCACTGGGATTCGAACCCAGGACCTTCTGGTTACAAGGCAAGCTCGTATACCATTCAGCCACTGGGACCCGATTCAATGGCCAGTGCATGAATTCTAACCTCTACCGATTCGTGATTTAGCGCGACCCCAACCATTGTCGTTGGTGGAACATCCATCCACACACGTGACATCTAATTGGACCTCACTGGTTACGACTTCTAACTAGAACTCAGAAAACTCCAACCTGGAGTAAGTCGCTAGCGAGCATCAGATTAATTTTCTATAGTTTGGTTTGTAAGGGGTTGTTGGGGTCGCGCTAAATGCCTCACGAATTGGTAGAAGTTAGAATTCATGCACTGGCCAGTGAATCGGGTCCAGTGGCTGAATGGTATACGAGCTTGCCTTGTAACCGGAAGGTCCTGGGTTCGAATTATAATAATATGAAAAAGAGGAGAAAAAAATACGAAAATGAAGAATACTCACTTCTCCGGCGCTGACAATTTGATTCGGTTTCAGTGTTTTCACCGCAACTGGAACCTCTTGACCAGATGGTGTTCTATACAATCCTTTGACAACATGACCAAAATTTCCTCCACCTTAAAGGGTGAAACAACAACAACAACAACAAAAAACAGAACAAAATCCAGGTGGAAATTAAAAAAAAAATTGAAACATTGAAAAGAATAGACAGAATTCAACGTTCAATGTCTGTCTCTCTCTTATTTTTAATGAAAACGAATAAACGCGACAGTATGAGAATGGCATCAGATTTGAAAATGAATAAAGAGCGGTAATATTGAAAAAATGAAGGCTATTCGATTTCTACGTTTAATAGAAAAGTTGAAATCTTCACTCTTTTCGTTTTTTTAAGCGGAAATCATGTTTGTAAAAATAAATTTTGAATGCAAAAACAATAACAAGAATTTGATTTGACACAGACATTTGAATTATTTCGGTTGAATAATTGGAATTACTTTGAATGGTTGTCATAAACACATTAAAACAATTAGTCTCTTTGATAAATTTGAATAAGGCACTAAAGAAGACAAATTTCGCCACGAGATGATATCGTCATTTCGTAGTTTCTTTACAACCGCTTTACAACTAACATGGTTAACAATAATAAAATAAAATAAAGTTCATGACAATTACTCAGTTTAATAAAAAACATAAAAGTACATACTAATGACCAATCATATTTAAATAGGTCATGTTGTCAGTTCATGGTAGGCGAAGATTGAAGTCTATTGATTTTTGTACATACAGTTTAGGCTGTATGTGATTAATCCCTTAAAGTGCTTCCATCACCTTTAATAATCAGCTTTGAATTAGAGTTATGTGAAATAATTGTGAGCTTCATCAATTGTCACGGTAAGGATAGACCACATCTTGAAAAGACAGCTTCTGTACCAAATAAAACTATGTTTATTAACCTACCATTGAAGGGTGATCAGGTTATGCAGTTGACAGCCAGCTCAAAGACTTCGGTCAGTCATCAAATACACATTCTACGCCACCGCATCTCTTTTTCTCACTTGCCGAATATTTTCGATCTCTGTACCTACGATTAAAGGATGAAATTCTGTGGACTCAACTTCAGACTGTATCTACAAGTTCACCTGCAGCTGCGGTGACACCTATATAGGTAGAACTAACAGAATGTTCCAATGTCGTGGTCGTAGAAAAGAACATGTTCCAAAATGGCTACTAAATCATATAGAAAATTCCAACGCGATTAATCTGAATAGAAATCCGGCATCATCCAGCATCTATTGCAAGGCACTTATTAATTTCAGGTCACAAAATCAATATTAATGACGACTTCCAATTCATTCATCGCATAACTCTAATTCAAGGTTGGTTATTAAAGGTGATGGAAGCACTTTGGGGGATTAATCACATACAGCCTAAACTGTATGCACAAAAATCAATAGACTTCAATCTTCGCCTACCATGGACTGACAACATGACCTATTTAAATATGATTGGTCATTAGTATATACTTTTGTGTTTTTTATTTAACTGAGTAATTGTCATGATCTTTATTTTATTTTATTATTGTTAACCATGTTAGTTGTAAAGCGGTTGTAAAACAATTCCAACAGTGGTGTGAACACGGGAAGTAATTTTGCTCGAAATATTACCAATAACAAAACTTATCATTGTGTGTAAACTATTAAAATATAATTATACTTTGATGTGGTTTTGTTCTCTGAGCTGGATGGTTAGTTTGCGAAGCTTTCATTGCCCTACTGGGTGACCTTAAAGCTCACTTCAAATTGAAGTATGCGCTGAAGATGTCACCCAGTAGGGCGATGAAAGCTTCGAAAACTAACTATCCAGCTCAGAGAACAAAACCACATCAAAATTATCCACCTAAGCTACAAATCTTCTCTATCATATCTATAATTATACTTTATTCGGTTGTAAAGAAACTACGAAATGACGATGTCATCTCGTGGCGAAATTTGTCTTCTTAATGCCTTATTCAAATAAACACAATAATTTTGAATAAAGCAAGAATAACAGTTTGGTTATGGAGAGTAAAAACAAAGTGGTATCATCATTGTTTATTTCGTTGACTTCTCGTCAGCTCAACTTCTGCTTAAAGCCTACATCTCAAGGGAACAAAGTCTCTTATCATAGCGCTATTATCGGACCTCTCCTCAATATGGGTGGGTCATGAGGTAGAAATCGTGAAATCCTTTGAAATTATCAATAGACAAAAGGAGCTCGATTCTCTTGAAGTTTACAGAAGCTATTTCTATTATTTCATACAATTGATTCCATTTATTAGTTTTGAAGAGGGAGAGAAACAATAAACATGTTTGCAGGATAATACGAGCTCGTTTTATTTCGTGGAAACTCATCAAGTGCATACATCCTAAACCAAATCAAATTTTTTTTCTCGCGCGCGCTTTTCGACTACTGCGTCACATTTTCCTAATTAATAAAAACTCTCGTTTCTGTAAAATTTTACGTCAAGAGTTTGTGGAAACTATCACAATTATTTACCTTTCGAATACTGAATCCAAGAATACAATCTTATTGACAGATAATACATATAACTAACTATTTGGATTTGTGGAATTTTTAAACATAAACACAGATCTATAATTGTATATATTGTTGGATTTACATGTTCAAGTTGCTCCAAGTCAGTGAGTTTATGGTTGAGATATCATTTTAGTTAACTGTGCTGAACTATATTGCATGTTGTTGTATTGTATCGTTGTTGTCGCTTTTTGCCCTTTTTGCTGTGAACTGTTTTCCTTTTGTTGATGTTGTTCTCATTGTTTTGTCCGTTATTTTCCGATTTTGAGGGGAGCAACACAAAAAGTCGCTTCTCTCTAAACTTTAACTTAATGTAATCATTCCTTTCTCGGGCATGAGGCTAGCAACCCCACCCTGTAAACAAAATTGCTAGAGAAACTTCAGTACGATGAACCTCTTTGCACCAAAATCAAATTATAAGCTATAACAAAGTTTTGGAACATACTTTTTCATAATTACTTGAAGTTATAGGTAGATTTATGTGTTCAGCAAGATGAAACAGTTCTCAGTCTTCCTTCATTCTGGTAACTGAATGTCTTTACTCTCTTTCTGTCTCTCTCTCTCGTTTGACTACGTACATTGTTACCTAATTTATTAAACACCCAGCACATTACGCATCTCTCGTCTTTATTACATAACTCCTTTGTCATTGTATGCATGAACTTATTTTGTATAAACTTGAACTGCCCGCGTAAAAACTATATAAGCGTAATTTTTTTTTGAACACTGTTCAGTAATTTCGGAACCTTCCGTCAACTGACATCATGGAAAATTTGCAAGTATGTTAAAATCTTTCTGTACATAAACTTAACAATAATTTATTTAGGCTGTAAATAGCAGCTGATGAGAAGCCAATGAAATAAATAATGCAGTGGTAGTATATTCTTCTGCACCAGCCACTGTTGTTCTTGATTTATTCAAGCAGGTCGAAGATGAGACCGTAACTCATCGAAGTAAACATTTCGAAATGATCACATTATGTCATGCGTGAATTAGCAGAAGCTAGAATTCAATAACCATTGGATGGGTCCCAGTGGCTCAATGGTCTACGAGCTCGATGACCTTCTAACCAGAAGGTCCTAGGTTCAAACCCCAATCAGGCGGTGCGTACAGCTGAAGAGGCACAAAATAGGACGAAACAATTGTCCAGTACTCTCAAATTTTTCAGTGGTTCACTAAATCATTTGAGCTTATGATGAAATCTTCCGTCAAGTCAAACAAAATCCCTACAAAACCAATCAATGCTTGAAAATTATTTAAATTCATGAAGAGGAATAAATGCATGAAATACGTATGTATACATCATTTGTACAAATCTTCTATGTTTTGCTACTTTAACCTCTCACATTATGGTCTTTTCACATCTCCCATGTATTTCTCTCCGCAACGATGTATCACTTTCTTTCGCTGACATCAAGTGTATTTGACTGCTATTTTGGATGTTTTTATGCCAGCTGATGAACGTTTTGCCACTTGACACTTGATATTTGACTATGGTTATAATCATAACTATTTTGATTGCATTTCACACATCTTTGTGTACATTTCCTCATTAGATATAATATCTAAATATATAAAAAACCATATTATTATTATTATTGTTGCCTTTAGTTCCTAGAGGAACATAGGACTTTAGCCTCACGTCTCCATTGCGTTCGGCTCTCTGCCAACGTTTTCACCTAGCTTCACTTTCACTGACACGCCTTCATCTCTTCTTCACATGACGTCTTCCATGTCACCCTCGCACTGACGACCAACTCGCCGCTTCCCATTCAGGTTCTACTTGAAGTCCTGTCTAGTGATTTCACTTGATGGTTTGTTTTCTCAGAGTATATCGAATCCACCTGTATTTCTACCTGCATATTTCTTGCACAATCGGTTCCTTCTGGGTTGGTTCGTTCATTTTCAGAGATCTGTCCCTGCTGCTGATCTTTTCTGGCCTGCCATCTGATCTTGATTAGTATTGAGAGAAGACAGAGCTGTTGATGAACGTATGTAGTTTGTTTGAAGTGCTCTTCGTGACACATCAGGTCCCTGATCCGTACATATAGTGAGTAGCACTGACCAAAATGCAGTTGGAAATCCGGATTTTATTTTCATTGTCATGCTGAGTAGTGCTGTTGATCTCCACACAGACGAGAGAGAAATGAAAGCTTTTCTAGCTTTCTCTATCCTCGCTGCTTTAATATCCTTGTCAGTTCCATTCGTCTGTGGTTGAAACGATATTTTCCAGGAAGGTAGGTAGGTAGGTAGGTAAGTGAAGAAGGTTGCTTCTTTCAGATTTCTCCAATTTATGCTGGCTGATTGTTGTCTGTTGTTGTTGCTGTGGCTGTTGGTGTTGGGCAGGAATCTTCATCACCCACCTCTGTTTTCTCTATGTTCACCTGAAATCCTATCTTCTCTGGATACTTCTTCTATCGCCAAATTGTTGCTTTTCCCTTGCAAATCTTCCAGTTTGTGGGAAATCAGACAGTTTTACGATATATAATTTCTTAATATATAAAAATCCATATATATATATACATATATATATATATAATTCCTTTAGGTTCTCAGTGGAAGAAAAGGCTGATTGAAACTAGAGACTTGAAGTTCCTGTAGCAGTGGTGTTGACTTTTACGGCATGAATTTGATGGCTTCATGCCCAACCTTCCCTCTTTACCAGTCTTATTACTGGTTTAGTGAGGGAAAGGAGTGCCTCGGGGTCTGGGGGTCGAACCTCGAACCTTGTGGGGCGTGGTTGGCGAGTATTCTATCGCTGTGCCACCGACACTGGCTCCTGCATCGGTGGCACAGTGGTTAGGACTCTCGCCGACCATGCACGTGGTCCGGGGTTCGAGTCCGCACCGACGCACATCTGATATCTATGGTCGGCCTGCAAAATTTGGGCCACCGATATCCATGCTGAAAATTCCATACTTGTACCGAAAATACAGTGTGGAATCAAGAAAATCAAAAAAAAGAAAAAAAATCAAACCTAGGCCTTCCACGTAACAGGTGAAAATATATGTATATATATATGTTTGATATTATTTGGTTATAGCTTGATTCCACACAGTATTTCGGTACCATTATGGAATTTTTGAGCGTATCATATCGGTAGGCCAAATTTAACAGGCTAACCATTGATATCAAGTGTGAATTGACAAAGAGATTGAACTTCAGACCATGTGTATGGTCGGTGAGCGTTTCAACCTCTATGTCACTAACACTAATCACATAAATATCAAAGTGACAGAATATTCGGTGTTGTTGGATGGGAAAGAGGGGAAATAAACTTAACAATACCTTACCTAATCTTTCTTTTAATGTTACAGTTTGTGAACTTAACAGAAAGTTGGATGGTGGTAATTCATCATAAATTTGTTGAGCATTCTCAGGACTGATTGCATTAGCCCAAGCACTACGATTTGATTGAAATTGTGGTGATGGCATTGTCATCGGTGGGTTACAATTTTGTCCTTGTACTGAATGATGACAACATATAGCTGAACAAAATGTACTCATATCTGGCGATGTTAATGATTGTGTTCTATTGGGGTTTATGACTGTCGCTGATGATGGTGATGATGTTGATGAGGTACGTCGAGTTAAAGTTGGACTTATAAATGGTAGAAATGGATTATTCCCTATAAATGTAGATACGTTTGTTGCTGTTGTTGTTGCTGGTGGTGTTGGTGTTGTCGTTGTTGTTGTTGTTGTTATTGTACTAGTTGGTGTTGTGCTGGAATTACTAAAACCACTGACACTACCAAAAATACCACCAATAGCACCAACACCACCTCCTCCAGTACAGGAACCACCACTGCTTGATGTACTCAATGCGTGATCTACAAAAAAAAGGAAAAATGAAGATGTGATAATAATGACCACGAGGTAACTTTAATTAGATAGATAACTGATAACCACAGAACCTTGTCATGACCTTGGCGGCCTGTTTGAATATTTTTGGGCTACCACATTCCATGTACATTTTGCATCTATTTACTCGTATTTTATTGGTATTTACATATCACATTATGCATTCTAATCGTATTATCTACTCCCGGGATTTTATAAAACGTTTTAAACCCAAAAACTTTCATATTTGCAATAAACTCAAGAAAAAGCACCATGGAGGTTGGCAGCGTGCCTTAAAATCTACACCCATACATCACACCACTGTTCCAGTTATCATTAGTACCAACTGCCGGTCCCTGCCTAATAAAATTCTGGATTTTCAGTCTCTGTTGTCTTCTAGTACCTACCACAATACTGGTATTGTCACTCTGCAAGAAACCTGGCTCCATGACTCATACGATGACAATATTGTGTCTCTAAACAATTTCAATGTTTTTCGACAAGACCGTGTTTGTTCCAAGAAAAAGTGTGGTGGAGGTGTTGCAACTTTTATTCACTCAAAATGGTCCATTTCAAACAAAGTTTGTTTCAAATTCTCGAATGACTTCATTGATTGCATCACTGTGAGATGTCGCCCGAAACACCTTTCAAAATACAAATTCATTTATATTTCTAATGTTTATGTCTCTCCTGGCTGTACCATATTGGATTTATCTATGTTCGCCGATGAATTCACCGCTTTTGCTGCAGCTTGTTTCGAGAACTCTTTATCAATAGTAACTGGCGACTTCAATGGAGCGATTGCTCCTTCCTTATATCACTTGGTCATGACAATATTGTCAACTTTGCCACCCGTCTTGGTAAAAAACTGGACCTAGTATTCATCAATGATGTTGGTATATATGAAGCTCGCAAACGTGCTCCTCTACTTAATTCTGACCACTGCATCATACGTGTACTGCCTAAAATATATTCCAAATCACACAAAGGTGTCCTCTCTCACCTCTACAGTAAAGTTCAACGGAGATGCTACTCAAAAGACAACCTAGACAAGCTCAGATGCATGTTGAAAGACACTAACTGGGACTTATTTACAGAACAAACATTAGATGAAACAATCACAAACACTACCGATTATCTTAAATTCTGTTTCGAAATATGTTGTCCTAAAGAAACATTATTCATTCGATTTGATCGCTTATCTTCGCCATATCTCAAAAAGCTACGTAGAAATAAAGAACTGTTGTTCAAAACTAATGATAAGCCTGGTGTAAAAAAGTTAAACATGCTGATAAAACTGGAAATAAAAAGACTAAGTGTTTTATATAATCAAAGATTTTTGTCATGTAAAACCCCTTCTAATTTATGGAAACTTTTCAAAGAAATTACTAACGGTAAGCGATGTATTTCTGTTCCATCTCTTAATGTTGACACTCTTAATAAATCTTTCATACGCTCTTCTGTTGATACCCTTCCAAATGATACAAATCATATTGACAATAACTTTAGTGGTTTTAATACCCTTGATGTGCTTAAATGTCTCCGGTCTCTTAAGCCTTCTCAAAGCCTTGGTCCTGACGGCATACCTGCCATTGTCCTCAGGAATTGTGCTGATATTTTGTGTTATCCTCTTACTAACATTTTTAATGCCTCTTTTTCCGGTAACGTTCTACCTTTTGCATGGAAAAACATTAAAATTATCCCTATACCAAAACCATCTTCTGGTTCTGATATTAAATTTCGGCCTATTGCAATTACTTCCCCCTTTTTAAAATTGATGGAAAAATTACTTTTACTTCGTCTTGAACCCGCTTTGAAACCTTTTAATGATCCTAAACAATTTGCATACAAACATGGTAGAAGTACCTTGGATGCTGCGGTTGTCTTATATCACAATGTTGTCTCTTGTTTAGACAAAGGTGCTAAATATGTTCGTAGTGCTTTCTTAGACTACACATCTGCTTTTGACTCTGTACCTAGGGGCCTTTTATTAAATAAGCTATCGTTGACACAAACAGGATCCTGGGCTAAGAGTTGGTTGCATTCCTATTTTTCTGATAGAATGCAGTATACTGTATATAACGGCAAATCTTCTTCTACCTCGCTTACAAAATCCGGTGTTCCACAAGGTGCTGTCCTCTCTCCTTTTCTTTTTTCTTTCTTCCTACATGACCTACCTCATTCAAACGAAACTAACTTTGTCAAATATGCAGATGATCTGACTGTATCACTGCCTATCACTTCCGAGTCTGACAGCTCCAAACTTAATAGCTTTCTGTTGGACATCAACAACTGGTCCAAGTCAAATGGTCTTATATTAAATCCTTCCAAATGTCAGGTGCTTGACTTTACTTTCAAGCATCGACGTGACTTACTTGAACTAGTTAACTCTCATGATCCCTGTAGCATAGATGGCACGGAAATTGAAACCAAATCAAGTATTAAATACCTTGGATTAGTTTTTTCCTCTGACCTTTCATGGTCATCCCATATCTTATCTATCTCTAAGAAAATGTTTCGTCTTACCTTCTACATTAAAAAGTTAAGACAATCAGGTATCAACCAACCTTTAGTTTTGCAATTTTTAAACTCCTGTATTTTACCTATTGTACTCTACTGCTCTCCATTAATCTTTCCTGGGCTTCTCAAAAAAGATTATATCATATTACGAAGAGTATTAAATGCTGTGAGTAGAGCTTGTGGTCTGCCACTGCATGAGCTCGCTAATACTATAGTCGAGAGGCATATAAATTCCTGTACGAAATGGGCAAAGGCTATAATGTCAGACCCTCTGCACCCCCTTTATTCACACCTGTCCCCTTGTATCTCATCAGGTAGGACGAGAAGTCAATATAAAAAGATATATGCTCGTACTACTAAGTATAGAAATTCTACAATACCCTATTTAGCGCGTACTTTATGTGACGAAGACTCTGTTAGACGTGAAACTTACAAGTTACTATGTAATTAGCACAGTGAATCGACCCTTTTATCGTTCATCTTTCTGTATTTTATGGTGTCACACTTTCTATCGTTTAAATCGTTACTCTGCTATTTTATATTAGTTGGTATTACTATTATTACTACAATTTTGTACTTTATACATATTTTTCTCCGTATGGCACACAGTATTTTGCTACGTAGCTGCTACAACAATCGTTTTATTACTATTATGTATTGTGTATTTTTAATTTTTTTTTTGTCGTTTTTGGGTAAATTAGATGCAATATTGTACTGAATGCTGAAAATTCCTTGCTGTATCATGAGTACTGTTTTTGGAATAAAGCAATTATTATTATTATTATTATTATTATCATTATTGGATATCCGTTTCGTCCTTATTTGTGACTCTTCAGTAGCGTGTACCAATTACACCACTAGGAATTGAATTGGCAACCTTCAGAATATGACACCATGCTCGTTGAGCATTCAGCCACTCGTGAATTTTCATGTCAACTCGTGATTTAGCGCTGTCCTCACATGCCTGAGCTCGTAATCTGAAGGTTTTGAGTTCGAATCCGGGTAGGGTAGTGGATACAAACTGATGAGGAGTTTCAAACTGGGAGGAAATCGATGGCTATCTACTACTCCCTGGCTTTTAATGATCTCTCTCTAACTGAGTTTGGTATGTGACCAAAATCTAATAAATTAAATTAATAGGAATCGCCCTAAACTTGTGATTTCGAATATGATTCATCTTTTGACCAGATGACCTTGAATGACTGTAAATTTGATAATTTCCTACTTTTGTTCAGGTTCAGTAGTCGATCGATCAGAATATTTATTTTCTAAGAACCTATCCGAATCGCTTAACAATCAGAACAATCTGGGTAACCCCGCCGCAGGCAGATATTAATGTGGGTAAAAAGCTATAATACTGCAGATGTACTCATTCCATTATTGCAAAAGGTATGAGAGGAAGGCTACTTTGTCAAGCTACCATAGAAGGCAGACCCAGTTAGGCTTCTGAAAGAACTGGGGTGGAATCATGATGTTGTCCATACCAGACAAAATATTAAGTCACGTCAACCTGGAGATAATAAAAGATGTACTGGATAAAGAATTTTGGCCAGCGCTGAATAAGCTGGATTCAGGAAAGGCAAATCATGGGCTCCCCATACATCGTTATCACAAAACAAAGAATAGAATGACAGCAAAACTCTGCCCTATACCTCAGTTTCATCGGCTTGGAAAAAGTCTTTGACACCGTTGACCGTCAAGTAATTTGGAAATCATTTTAACACTGTGGAGTACAGTGCCCCAAATCTTTATCAACATCATTTAAGAGCTATATGACAATGTTAGATTCCAGTCAGGTGATGCGAAACGGAAAACTGGGTGAGGCATTTGAAGAAATTACAAGAGCAAGACAAGGACGCCTGCCTATTATCACCTACGATGTTATTCTTAATTGTTGTAAACTGAATTATGCGGAAAACTGTGTGTAAGGGGAACGAGAAGACAGAAATACACTGGATGGATAAGAAAACTCTAGAATAAATAAGAAGACAGTTGCAGTGAAGAAAATTTTCTTTTCAACGAAGTCATCATCTAGGCTGTACATTCGTGTATTTATATCAAATGGATGGGAAAGTTCCAGAATAATATCCGGTCAAGGGTCAAATTAATAAAAATTAAAATTGGGAATTAGAATGCCATAATAAACAACAGGGGGATGGATAAAACAAACAAAGTAGCATCATGATAGCTAAGAAGATTGACATTGTGCAATTAGAGATTAGAAATGTAGAAATAACAAAATAGACAGGATGTTTGGATAAAAAAACTAATGTGATGATTAATTGTTTATACAATCAGGGATTAAATATGTAGAAATAGTAAAGTGATAAAATAAACACGAAGTTCGGGTATGAAAATATGGTAGTGTAAACAGGGATTCAGAAAAACTTAAAAAAATAACAAGATTAAACAGGAAGTTTAGATAAGAAAGGCGATGGGATGGTCATTACTAAAAAATTACCTGTTTATG